AAAAAAAAAAAAAAAGGAGGGAGAGAGACAAACACTGAGAGAAGGTGACAAGGGAAGAGAGAGAGAGAGAAGGAGGTGCTGAATTGAGAAAACCATGACATCAGCCTACATAATTTACTCCTTTCCAAAATGAGTAAGTAAGCAACAAGAGACAGGAACTTACTAAGGCAGCTGCCTGGCCAATCCCCTGAGCAGCCGCAGTCAGGATGATAACTTTTCCATCTAGTCGACCCATGAGGGGACCTGCACGTGAATCTAAAGACATGCACAGTTAACACTTAACACTGTAACTAGAATACCATCTGGTGCTGGTGTCAACATCTGGAATGAACAGCTCAACAGGCTCCTTTAAGAATGTGAAAATGGGGCTCGGAAGGTGGCTCAGTGGTAGAGCGCTTGCCTTGCATGCATGAGGCCCTGGGTTCAATTCCTCAGCACCACATAAGCAAAAAAAAAGCCAAAAGTGGTACTGTGGCTCAAATGATTCCTCAGCACCACATAAGCAAAAAAAGCCAAAAGTGGCGCTGTGGCTCAAGTGGTAGAGCATTAGCCTTGAGCTGAAGAGCTGAGGGACAGCGCCCAGGCCCAGAGTTCAGGCCCCATGACTGACACACACACAAAAAGAAAAGAGGTGATGTATAGAGGGGTTCCGGTTACCTAAGTCAGATAATGAGTACATTTCTTTTTGGACAATGACACCCCTTCCCTTGCTCTCTCCCAGTTTTTCCCTCCCATCCCCACTCACAAGTTGTACAGTCCATTTTTCTACATGGTGTCTAGTGAGCACAACTGCTGTATTTATTCATCCTTTGTCTATCCATTTCTGTGCTCCCCCCTTACCCTCCCGAAGACAAATGAACAAATAGGACAAAAGAAAAAGACAACCAAAAATAGCAGCAGCAGCAAAAATAATCTCTGATTTCCATTTCTTGGAGTTCATTTCATAGAATATGACTTTATATGATTATATGCACACAGCTGTTGCGCCGCTGTGGTCTGCTCCTATGCAAATCCTCCTTGGTCTCACTGTGCCAATGTCTAGAGACCTGTATAATTTATCAACAGCTTGTAGTGGAAGCCACTGAAGTGCTGACTGGAGGCTGACATTGGACTTCACCCTCCTCATTCTTGTCAGCCTCTGCTGATGGAAGAGAGTCCCCACCGCCTTGCCCTCCCTCTCAGGCCAGGAAACACCACCAGGGCCTCATGAGTCCTTACTGCTAGGGCTGCTTCTTGCTTTCTCTTCTATCAGCTATTGTTGAGCTTTGCATCATCCGTTTTTCTCGGCCTTTGAAAAGATTTCATAGCTGGCCTCAAAGATTAATTGAACAATAGGCAGGAAAAAAAGATCAAATCATGTCCCAGATGAGGACCCTTCCTGCTCAAGGTCACAGAGACCATCAGTGTCAGAGCCAGGATGCTGTCCTTGAGCTTTTTGACTCAAGGCTGGTGCTCTATCACTTGAGCCACAGTGCCATCCCAGCTTTTTTTTTTTGAAATTTACTGAAGATAAGTCTCAAAGACAATTAAAAAGAGTCTACTTTCTTGCCCTGCCTGGATTTGATGCATGATCCTCACATGTCAGCCTCCTGAATAGCTAGGATTACAGGCATGAGCCACTGGAGCCTGGCTTCAAATTAACTTCTCATCCACCCACTCTTTTAAAGTTTACACAGGCAGCAGCAACACTTTAATCCATAGAATCACTATTTATCTTTGCAGTATCGGATCTTGAACTCAGGGCCTTGTGCTGTCCTTCAGCCTTTATTCTGACTGGTGCTCCACTACTTAAGTCAAATATCGACTTCTGGCATTTTGGTAGTTAATTGGAGATTAGAATCTCATGGGTTTATCTGCCCCTGCTAGATTCAAATCTTGATCCTCAGATCACAGCCTCCTGAGTAGCTAGGATGTACAGAATCTCAGTAACAGATTGGAGATCTTTATGCAGATGCAAGTCAGGTGCTCATCAATGCATGCTGGGAGTCACCAGTGCCCAGTAGCAGTAATTTCTAAAAGGGAAGACTGAGAAAGTCTGACATTGGGAAAATTCAGAGTGCATGAGCTATCTACAAAGGCTTAGACTATACGATAGTGAGCTGGCAATGCGAGAGTCAAAACGGCATCAGCATAGGCCCTGCTCTTGCTCTGCTCTGCCATTCTTGTCTCTTCAGCTTCACCACCACTCACAAAGTTGCTTAGGCCCAACACAGTCATGTTCATATTTCAGGAAAAAAGCAAGGAGGGAGCAAAGCCATGGCCTTCCACAGTTTTCCATTCAAGGACGCCCTCAGATCCTCATCTCTGTAGGAGGAGAGCAACTTGAGAATCTTGCTTTCTACCCATTAGGAAATGAAAAGCAGGCTGGGCACTAGTGACTCACGGCCCTAACGCTAGTTACTCAGGATACTGCTCTCTGAAGATCCAGGTTCGAAGCTAGCTTGGGAAGGAAAGCCCTGAGACTCCTATCAATTAACCACCCAGAAAGTCAGAAGTGGAGCGGTGTCTCAAGTGGTAGAGTACCAGCTTTGAGCAAAATAAAAGCTAAGGGACAGTACCCAGGCCCTGAGTTCAAGCCCTAGAACACAAGAAATAAATAAAATAAAATGAAAATAAATAAAATAAAATGAAAAGCAGGGGAGTCTGGAGTGAGAAGGGTGTTCAGTGGAACCTTCTGGCAGCACATGAGTAGCCTTCAGTCACTGCCACTCGCTGGTGGGATAAAGGAAAAGGAGCCTTGCCTTCAGACTTGCGTCTGCTGCTTGCTTCTTAAACCTATCTCTGTTCTCTTCAGCCATGAAAATCCTCCCTTCCTCCCTCCCTCTTTTCCTTTTTCCTTCCCTCCCTCCTTCCCCCCCCTCAGGTTCTTTCTTTTTCATATACCCAGTGTCCCAGTCCTTCCAACCCTCCACCACTTGCTCCACATGTGAGACATGTTTCACAGGTAAGAGTCTGGGCACCAGTGAGGCTCAGCTGAGGGACTGTGTTCCCGTGCATTTTGCACCCACCAGGCCATCTGCTGAAGTCTGCGGCTGCATTCTTCACAGAGCTCTCAGTTCCCGTTTCATGCACCAGAGCCTGCACCTCAAAGCCTTGGACAAGCGGAGATGACTGCTTATGAGGTGGAGTTTGTTCTAGGGCCATTCTGAGACGAAGGCAGATGCAGCAGCTCCAGGGCTGACTCTTGTGGAAGTCTCCGGCCACCCTGTGAGACCGACTGCACAACCGGCAGGAAGCTGCTTCCAGCCAGGCTCCTCCTCTCTCCCTCACAAGCTGATGGCTTCCCAGCTTTACCTAGTTTCATCTGCATTTCCTCCCACCCCAGCATTTCCCTCTAATACAATCCATGCCTACGTACATCTACCTTGGAGTCTACTTCCCTTAGGACACAATAATACTAAGAACTAGTTAAAGTGCAGTGCAGTACATCTCTAAACCCAGAGATACAGGAGGCAGAGATGGGAGGATCAAAGCTGAGGCCATCTTGGGCAATAATCTACAGACCCCACCTGGAAAATACAACAGAGCAGAAAGGGTTGCGGGGATTGGCTCAGGTGGTAGAGCTTCTGCCTAGCAAGCACACGCTCCCCAAGGAACTAGCTTCTACATTGTCTGATACAAACAATTTGAGGTGTTTTTTTTGTTTCCTCTCCTCTTACCCAAAATTTCACTTCAAACATGGTAACCGTTAAGAAGGAAGTTCAACTTATGTTTTAGAGAACCACTCCTATCGTCTTTGCCAGTACTGAGTGTGACCTATGAAGAGCGGTTGTTATTTACAGTACCTGCACTGGTGACAGGCACTCATGCTCCTATAAGGGCATAGGTCAACACTTTCTTCAAGAATTGATGACCCAGCCAATGTCAATGGCTCACACCTGTAACCCTAGCTGCTCAGAAGGCTGAGCTATAAGGAACAATGTTCAAAGCCAGGCTGGGCAGAAAACTCTGTGGGACTCTTTATCTGCAATTAGCCAGCCAAAAGCTGGAAATGGAGGTATGTATGGATCAAGCGGTAGAGCGACAGCCTTCAATGAAAAAGCCTAGAGAATGTAGACTGGCTCTGAATTCAAGCCCCAGTGCCAGTAAAAAGAATTGATGACTTGCCCAGTTGCATCTGCTGAGAATCTGTGGAAGCACAAAGCACCCCATTGGCACACTTTGAAAGCCTCCTTTGAACTGATCATTTGTTTTCTGGGAGCAGCACAGATACACTGTATTCTCAAACCAAGAGATTTCTTTGGGTAAATTTGTGCAAAGATGACCAGAAATGACATTTTTAAGCCAATTCTTAGTAAATTCAGTAGGGACACTGAACATGTTGACTTTCTTCCTTTAAATATTTTCCCCCAAAATGTTCCAGTGAAAGAGACATCAGCACAACATTTTCAGGAACTCTATAAATATTTTCATGAACCAGAAAGACAAATGTTTACCTAGCACAGATACTGCTAAACTACTTTTCCTCTGGCTACTCTGAAAGACTTGTGAAAAAATCCAAACCAAGCCCTGTTACGTCATCTAACTGCTAACACTAATCTTGAAATAAAGTGCAGAACAAATAACATCTTAAACATTAAACATTAAGCATCCGTTTGCCCCAGTCCAAAGTTTTGGGAAAACAAACTACCAGGAAATCTTACTTTGGAGAAGAGAGTAATGGTGTCCTCAGGTCTCCGCAGGAGAAGCAGACTTAGATCTTTGTGCAGAAGCAAGTCAGGCACTCAGCAGTGCATGCTGGGATTGTCGTTCAGATTCTTTGTATAGTATTTCTTCAGTTGTTTTTTCTTTTTTTAAAATAAGTGGCTTCAGCCACATATTTTGGATGTGTATCTGCTGCCCTCTAGTGGAACTCAGTTGAGCTGTTAGCTACAAGTCATAAGGAGATAGCCAGGTAGAGAGCAGGTGTAGCACTATTTGTGCACACTTTTCCAAACATCCTGCTCCACCATTGTCCTGAGTAACACTATACCATGGATAGTGGTACTTCTTGGTGCAGAAGTCAGTAGTTCCCAGTAAGTTTACTTGTGCCAACCTGTGTCTTGTCATTGACTAATCTAATCATGGTGTTTTCTAGAAATGAAATTGATAGGATGCCTACTACATTGTAATTTGAGCTGTACATATAGAAAACTTCCAGGTGAGCAAAAATAGAACCCAAAATAATAGAAACAGAAGCACAGCCCCTTAATGAATTTCCAGACTCCAGTCATTTTATAAACCCCAAACTTGA